AGCTTTCCAGTAACTGTACTGATGACCAGTGAGTTAGCTTGCCAGGCTGCCAAAACTCTTTTCCAAAGGATGACTGATGCAAAAGGTTTGTCTTTCCAAATCTGGTATTAGTTACCTTCAAGAGCCACGTGCAGAATGTGCTCTTGTTGACCCTACTGATACAAATAGGACATGGTTCCACTTTTTACAGAGTTATTTCTGTTTCATAAAGTGTGAAAATAAAGGAAATAGAACTGGGTAGAAGTCTATCTGCTGGGTTTTTTTTCTAATCTGTTTTTTTTACTGTTGCTTCACTGGTGCTGTTAACATGGACTGAGGGAACTACCGCTGACCCTCCTTGTCACTGCTGCGCATACACTGAACTTGCTTTGCTGCTTCTTTGCAGTTCATGACACAAGGGTCTACAGGGTCCTAGAGATACCATTCCAGAGGCTGTGCACCAGCAGGATTCCCTTAGGTGTGACAAGATATCATGAGCAGGTTGCTGGTATGAACTTTACAAAGTACCAGCATTAACACAGGTATATACTGCACAGTACAGATGGGCACGTACTGTTCATGGTGCAATAGTGAACCATGTAGCACAATTCAAGTATCCCTCATCCTCTGTCAGAGTAAAGAATACATCTTTTCCTTTTGCCACTAGAACTAGTACATATAGGCTTGAAACTCTGACAGAAGACTATTTGGTAGCAGAAAATGAAAAAAAATTGTCTTGTGTTCCTGGGCAAGAATTTCAGGAGTCAGAGAAGATGACAACAGTGAATTCTGGCAGTAAAAGCCTAGTTAATCTTGAGTTAGAAACTCTTCAGTCAGATGCTTATGTTACACAAAATTATCACTGTATATATTTACATTCATGAAGGAGTCAATTTTCAACATTGCCTCAATGATTACCAAATATTTGCACACTGCAATTATAAGTGTTGCTTAGCTGTATTTGTGGTTACAACTGTGGTACTTCTTAGCAGAAGATGTAAATATTTAAACCTCAGGAAATTTTTGTTTGCTTTACTGATTACATGGTCATGAACCATTTCATATATTTGCTTCTTTTTTCTTTTTTTATGTTATTTCACCTTTCTGTACTTAGAAAGATCTATTCCTACTTTTAAATTAGTTGAAAGCAGTACGTATTCTTAGTGGAATGACTACATGGTATTTTTCTTCCCTTACATATCACTTTGTCTTGGTGGGTCCTGATTGCAAAATAGCTGACCCAATTACCAAACAAGTGTGCTAGAGACCTAATTGTAACTTCAGACGTGTCCAGCTTAATTTAGCTGTGTGATTTTCTGGCCAGTGTTTTCTTTCCAGTAAGTCTATTTGCTGGTTTGGTAACAGATCAGGGACAATTCGTGTAGCACAGGTGGAAGGAAGAGTTCTCAAACTCAGTGTACTCTTTTCCTGCAATTTATTTTTGAGGAGAGAGTAAAGGTAAAAGTAAATCATTATGTGTTTGAAAGAGCTTTTTTCAACTCAATATTGATTTTTTGTCAGCCACTGGGACACTATCCGACACGTTCCCATCATTCATAGAAAACTTTGCCTCAGAAAATCAAAGCAGAAGAAATATATTTGTGTCTGTTAATTAGTTCCTGAATATCAGAATATCCTTATGGTTGCTATGGAAGAAGATCTGTTTTTAAAGCTTATACGTACTTGCCTTAGGAATCTAACTTGAAAAATCAGTCTACAATATTTTAGAAATGCTTTAGTGATGAGTTTTAAGATTTCCAGTGGTCTTTTATTACTGTTTAACTGAAAGTGTTCAGTGGACTTGACATGAACTTGCATTTTTTTAGATTCTCCAGAAGATAATTTTCCTATTTAAAAATAAATATTGAAAAATACCAAATGGTAAATGCTGAAAAAAATCCATACTCTGCTGTGCTATCCATCACCAATATGTATCACCCTGCTTTCATTACTAAATAGATTAGTGGGAAAAATCCCTTTTGCTAGGTCAATCAATGAGTGAGTGATAATTAGCATGAGAAACAGAGACAACTAAAAAGCTTGTCTAGTAGTGAAGTTATGCTGATGGTGGGCGAGAAAGCCAAGTTCACTAAAGTGAAAACGGAAGGAAAAAAAAGGTTTTGTAACTCATCTTTCTCTTTCAATTTTAAAAATGGGGCAAAAGGTAAATCACAGCTTTTTTTTTTCCCCAGTTGAATAGTCTACTCTGTGCAGCACATTTCCTCCTCACCATTCCTGAAGTGAAATGAGTCAACAAAAATCAGTTTCTGTGCAAGGGAGAGCCATTAATTTCTCTACACTTGTGACACCAACTGTGCTTCAGTTCAAATACTGGCTGGAAATAGTGGTTTCTTTGAAAACTAAGTGAAGAACAGTAATGTATGTACTTCATGCCAGCTAGAACCTTTCATTTTGAAAAGAAATTATGGGATATTTTGCTGCCTCCATACTGTGAATACATACTCTAGAGTGTATTCTTTAACAGTTATAAGCTAATGTATTTTCTTAAATCAAAACATGGAAGTTACATTGATTCATGACTTTTCATGTCAGCACTTTTAATAACATAAAAGACCCTTTGTTTTCTGCAAAGAATAACCAAAGGCTATTGCTTTAATGCATAGTTCTTACTTTGATGTAAACTATTACTACAAACAAATTTAAGTAAATATTAAATTAAATATTAAATTAAATTTAAATTAATTTTTAATTTTTTAAAAAAATAATTAATTTAAATAATATTAAATTAAATTAAATTAAATTGCCAAAAATCAAGGCACTTCATCATCATAATACTTCTAAAGACACCTCATATCCATAAGCCAGATATTTGATGGATTGAACAAGTTATTATCTTATTTTTGAAAATCTCATAGTGTGTGTGTTTAGTTAGTTCTTAATTTCATACATTAAAGATTTTATTTAAACTTCTTTCAAGTCTTAAGGTATTAAGAGTGAACATATATCTGAAAAAACCGGAATGTGATATAAAGGAATTAAGTCAAGATGATTCAGAAAATTTTGTAGTTTTGTCACAGCTGAGGTTTTTCTGAGTCCTGGAGCATAGGATGTCAAAATTCTAAAAATCTACTAAAATATTACAGTGAAACATCATTATTGAGCTTTGAGTTGTTTGTGCCTTATTTAAGGGTACTTGATGCAACACAGTAAATTCTCTGCCTTTACTGATCTACAGAAACCATTTTCAACTGTTGATTAACTTGGAAAAGGTTGTCAGACTGTCTGCAGAAGAGAGATTGCAGTGTATACTTTACCTTGAGGGCAAGAACAGTGAACTTATTTGTTAAACAAGGAGATGCACTAATTTGTGGGAACGAGATAAGTAGTGAATTCAAATATTTGCTGAGTATTTTGTAATTAGTTGAGAGGACAGAGCCTCAATAAACTAAACAGAGCCTACTTCAACAATCGAATATTGAGTCTGATATTATTGGTTTGGCCAGGAACTTACTGACAATAACATTAAAGGAAATGCAGCAAAAAATGTAATGTATTTCTCAATAAACACCTGACGTGTGAAATACTTTGCTTGCACTTTTTTAAGAAATCAGAGGAAGCCTGACTGTCAGAAAAATCCTAGAAATATAATGTAAAGTGTATTTGTCTTGGAAAACTGTACTCTGTGTTGTCCTCCCTGACTTCCAGGATTAGGCCTGAATGCTATTAATTCAGGACAATTGAAGTAGAGGAATGAATTCCACAGTTCTTTTAGACACTATCTGTGCTCCATGCTGGTGCATGAATCTGTTTAAATGAATAGAATCACAGGGTTAAGTTTGAAATATTAATAGCACTAGCCAATTAAATGTAAATATAAGTGTTTAGGGTCACCGAAGGAAAGCAAAACTCAGATCTATCTACATGTAAACCATGAGCAGAAAAAAACAAGTATTTTTTGTCCTTTTTTTTGTCTTTTTTTAATCTGTAATCTTTTTCTTTCTCTGGCATAAAAAATAAAGCCAGAAGATTTTTATACCCCCACTTTCTTCTCACAATACATGACACCAATTCTGGCTCATTCTTAAAAATTTTACATTAAGCAATGGGTTCCTTTCACATGAGAGAGTTGTGACAGCTTTTATTGTTGACCCATATCCCCTATACAGGTCACAAATACAGTCAAGTCTTTACTAGCACCTCCTGTCTGTGAATTCCACACAGGTTTGGTACTGATTGTAGCTTCTTCTGAGCTTCACAACTACACAGTGCCATCTGATGTCCTCAAAGAGCAATAAACTCTTAAAATCTCCTAAAATCTCTCAAATCATTTAAAAAAATCTCAAAATTAAGACTTGACCATCGCAGAGCATTTCTTCCCAAGCCTATCTGGAAAAGAACCACTGTATCATTTGCTTGTGTTTTCATTAAAACAATCCTAAATTCTGTATGAAATAATGGGCTCTGAGCTAATCATTACTGCTCAGGATGGAATGATGATGGAAATGAAAATTCAGTCTGTTGTAAGAAAATAATTTGTGAAATGGAGGGGCTAGAGGTAGTGAATAAATTACGCTCTCAGAAAAATGGACAATTTTGCTGGAATCTCAATGAGCTTATTAAATAGTCTTGGTTTTGGACAAGTATAAATTGAGTAAGAAACAAATTCGCTGTGGGAACAAACCAAATACAGGCTTTGATCCCTTTATCACTTCACTGCACCATTGCAATTAATGGAATCAATCCTAAATCCTTTCCTTGTGTTTTTGGGAGATCAACTCATGGGTGTGTCTTAGCATTATGTTGGATATTAATTGTCTCACATAGCTGTCAACATCCATATGCAAATTTGCTAAAATTGTATTTAAGGTTCCATAAGGACCTTTAAATGCTTTCTGACAAAGCAAGATCCAGTCCTTCCCCTGAACTATGAGCAGCGGCTGTCAAAATCCATGCTATGAAAATACTTGAGAGAATAAAGAAATAAATAAAATAAATAAAAAATAATAAATAAAAAAAATAAATAATAAATAAAAGAATAAAGCACCTTCTAGATTCCAAGACTGTTTCATCAACGTAAACATGTGCACGTGAATATTTATTTCTTGATACAGGTAAAATGCCCGGTTCATCCGGAGAGAAAGAAATGCAGGAACGGTAGGAGCAGGTGGCTGTTTTTGGGGCCGGGGGTTGTTTTGCAGGCGATGACAGCGGTGAAACACAGCCACCTACCGGCCTTTGGGTCCCTCGGCCACAGCAGCCAGCTCTTCTCTCTCTCAGGAGTTCAGCTCTGCAGCATGAAAACGTGCCCCAGCCCAGTGGAAGTTTTACTTACGTCCCTGGGTTATCAATTGTCAGTGATTGGCATTTATTTTGGATGTGTTCAAGCACAGAAGGGAGGACTGCGGCACGCTGGTAACAGTGTCCCAGCCAAGGCGAGCTACGCCTGAATTTCACCCCAGGATTTGAGAGGATTGCATGACTTGCAGAGGATTAGCCATGTGTCCTGCCATGCTGCAATATGTTGGCATCTGACTGGTAATGTAGTCCGTATCAAAACACACGTGGAAGACACTTTAAAATACATTCACAGAGAGCATCTGTATGTCTTTACAGATAGCCACATATACCAGACACTACTCTTTCTGATTCTTGTTTCAAAGTTGACTTTAAGGAGCTACAATAAATATATATTTAGGACAAAGCTCTCTGGAGTCAACTATTCATACGTTACCTGGTGGTTTTTCTTCCCTACAGTGATTATTTGGATGTTTACTAGTTTATAGGGACTCAAAACACGCAAATTTTCAACATAATAATGACATACTTTCATAGTGCAATAATAAAAATCTGTATAGGGAACCAAATTTTCTTTCTTATGACCCCCTTGGTTCTGCCAGTTTAATAGATTAAGACAGGAATCGTTCATCACTCAGGCACTGAGAAAGTAAAATGGTGCTTTATAGCCCTTCTCTGCAACAGGAAAACACTGTACCTCGCTAAATAAAGAACCAAATTCTGAGTTGACTATTCCCATCTTCTCTCAACTGCATTATTTCTAATCACAATTTGAAAACAGTCTACCTGGAAGCCTTATCAACGATTTCCAGAAGTACTTACTTATTTTCAACATGGCTACTTTTTACATCAATAAAACAATAAAACCCCCTCACATCATCACCACATATTTAGCATCGTCAGTGTTACACCAAACGTTTTACTTTTCATCCTTCCTGCAGAGATCCCAATTTTATTAATCAAATCCTAATTTTATTATGATATCATGTACAAGATATAATCCAAACCCAATCGGAATAGCAGTGTCCTTGTTGAGGAAGGCCAAGCTGCTGCTGTGTCAAGGGTAGAACGTCAGAGCCTGGCTGAGGCAGGGTGCTGGTTCATGTCAGACACGGAGGATTGGCTCTGGAGTGCCTGTACACGATTAGCTCTCTGTGCAGGTGTCCGGAGACAGCCCTCCAGCTCAGACATCAGGGCTAGGAAATCGTTCCTCCTTACCTAGGAGGGAATTTCCCGGCTTGCTGACATCTTCCTCACGTCCACAGACGACAAATTCCGTCCAGGACCTGAGAAATACTTTCTCTCGGAACACAGACGTGCACTCCCACACACACAGTCTTATGTTTTTAGTAAACACGTTTTTTACTTAGGAGAGGAGGACAGGGTTTCATGAGGATTCCATAATCGGACTGACACGCTTCTGAAGTTATTCCGAGCCTTGTGCCGGGGCTTCCCCAGCCGAGGTTTTGCCCCGACACACCGCCGCTCGCTCCGGTGGTGACACGGCCGCGCCCGCCAAGCCCGCAGCTCCTGGGGATGCGGCAGCCCACAGCCCGCCACCGAGCCGTGTCCAGCGGCTCCGAGCACACGGACCATCACCGCCCTACAGCCTCCCGGCAGTTTCCCCCGCGCACTCCGGCTTTATAAACTCCTCCCGCCCCTTTTCCCGATCGCCTCCGCAGGCCCCAGCTCCTCCCCAGCGCTGTGTTCGGCGGCCGCGGCCGAGGCGGTGCCCGCGCTCCGCCATGAGCTGCGCCGCGCTGCTGGCTG